AAGGAGAGGTTGAGTTAGTGGGCAAGGAGTGGTGGCCATGGAGGTGGGCAAGGAGGGGTCAGGGTGGCCACGGAGGTGGGAAAGGAGAGGTTGAGTTAGTGGGCAAGGAGTGGTGGCCATGGAGGTGGGCAAGGAGGGGTCAGGGTGGCCGTGGAGGTAGGCAAGGAGAGGTTGAGTTAGTGGGCAAGGAGTGGTGGCCATGGAGGTGGGCAAGGAGGGGTCAGGGTGGCCGTGGAGGTAGGCAAGGAGAGGTTGAGTTAGTGGGCAAGAAGTGGTCGGGGTGGTGGCCATGGAGGTGGCTAAGGAGGGGTCAGGGTGGCTGTGGAGGTGACCAAGGAGAGGTAGAATTGGGTGGCAAGGAGGGGTCAGGGTGGCCATGGAGGTAGGCAAAGAGAGGTTGAGTTAGTGGACAGGGAGCGGTGGCCAAGGAGGGATCAGGGTGGCTGTGGAGGTGGGCAAGGAAAGGTCAGGGTGGTGGCTGAGGAGGGGTCATGACAGTGGCTGAGGAGGAGTCACAGTGGAGGCTGTGGAGGTGGCCAAGGAGAGCTCAAGGTGGTGGCCGTGGAGGTGGATGAGGAGGGGTCACAGTGGAAGCCAGAGAGGGTCAGGGCGTTGGTCATGGTGTTGGCCAAAGAGGGGTCTCAGTGGTGGCCAAGGAGAGGTGGAGGTACTGGTCAAGGACGTGGCCAAAGACAGGTCCCAGTGGTGGCTGAGAAGGAGCCACAGTGGTGACCGTGGAGGTGGGCAAAGAGGTGTCATGGTGGTGCCTGAGGAGGGGCGGAGGTGGTGGCCAAAGAGGGGTCATGGTGGTGGCCGAGGAGGGGCGGAGGCTGGCCGTGGTGCTGGCCAGAAGGGGTGCAGGCGCTGGCCGTGGTGGCTGCGGAGGTGGCTAAAGGGCGGTGAAGGAGGTGGTGGCCGTGGTGGTGGTAGTCATCGGGTCTGCGGTGGCCATGGTGGCCATGGTGGTGCCGCTGCGGCAGTCGCGGCAGCAGGCAGGATCCAGCAGTCCCCGGTGCAATCTCGTCCCTGCCCCGAGGGCTGGTGCCGGTTCACTGGGTAGGTTCTCTCTCCGCTGAGTCAGAAGGTCACTGGGGCTGAGGGAAACCGGGAGGGACGCCAGCCGCTGCCTCCTCCTCCGCCTCCTTCTTCTCCTCCTCCTCCTGGGCAGGGTGTTTGCGTCCTCCAGGTGTGGCCCTTCCTGTCCTAGATATGGCCCTCGCCCCGGCCAGTTTGCGAGATGCTGCCTCCATAATCCAGCCACGTCCCTGCCACCTTGACCGGGACAGTCCTGCAGTGGAAGGTGCTGTGAGTGCCTTCTCTTCGCTGCCCCAGGGCCGTGTTATGGGGGTCCGTGGGCTCAGCCCAGCCTCCCGTGGGCCGGGACCTTCGGCAGAGCGATGGGTGGTGGCATGTCTGGTCACGCTCCTCTCCTCGGCACGGTTGTTTTGCAGTAGTAGGTGTCCTGGTGAGGCGGCAGTCGCTGGAGGTATCACCCCGTGCGGCAGAGAAGTGCTCAGCCTCTCCCGCCCCGTGCTATCGGGGACGCTGGCTGCGTCACACCGCTGCAGGGCACCTCCGGCGGGGACGTCACTACGCTCTTGCCAAGGGAGAGGCCGCTTCTGCGGCACCCAAACGCAGCCGGATGCCGTCGCTTGGGACTTTCTTCCTCAATTTGCCCCAGGGAGTGATTTTCCAGGCATCCAGGGCTGCATGCAGGCACGTTTACCGCTTGGAGAAGCGCACAGAGATCGGTGATAGGAGAAGAGTGGCCATGGAAAGGCAAAAACGTCTTGGGAAGAGGCTGGGCTCTCTGC